CAAAATAATCAACTTCTTGGTTGCATGGGCCACATTTCAAGTGCTCACGAGCCACAGGTGGCTAGTGGCAACCCTATTAGATAGGATAGACACAGAACATTGCCCTCACAGCAGGAAGTGCCACTGGACTGTGCTGCTCCAGAGGATTCTGTGCCCCCTATCACTGATCTCTAACTGCTCTTCAGGGGCTACTTGGAAGGGGCTATGCCCACAGGGACAGAAGCTCAACCGTGTTGGTGAAGCCCTTCTCAGCCTCAGTAGTAATAATAATCTTTCAGTTCCCGAGGATTCAGAGCTACCCATTTTTGAAGGCTCTATAGCTGTGCTATTTAATATGGATCTTGCTGTCATAGCCCTGTCAGCCAGGCCCTCATCCCTGCCTCCTAGGAAAGAAAACTGCAACCTCTGACTTCCTGGGGGCCTGGTTGGGAGCTTTATTACCATTGGTAGGTCATTCAGTCATTCAACAAGCCTTACCTTGGCCTGCTCTACACTGGGCCTTTGAGTTCTCAAAGGTGGAACCTAAGAGGCCCCTGCCCTGAGTGGGACTGAAAGACATAGAAGGGTCATTTTAGTCATGGATAGAGGTAGGAGTCAAGTTGGACTTTCTGAAAGAGGGGATAACTGAGCTAAATTCTCAAGGCTGAAAGAGTGGCCTGGTGGTTTGAGAACTGCAAGAGGCACAGTCATATCCCACAGGGCCAGGTGGTGAGATCAGTAGGGTCAGGTCAGGCTGGGCCCCGAGGACCAACACAAGAATGTGAGGTTGGCATGGGGGGCCGGAAGTGGCTGGCTCTGTGGAATGTACGGAGTGACTGGGTTGGAGAGGATGTGGGGAAAGGCTGGGTGAGTTCAGCTGTTGGCAATTTCACGCCCTCCCCTCCTCAGCCACTTACTGGGGACAGGCCTTAGCCATGGGGCCCAGGTGCCTATGAAGGTCAGATTTCGGTAGCAAGAGAATAAAAAATTTCCTTTGGAGGGGAGCCCTCCCCCCAGAGAGAGCTGCAGCTGCCTCTCATGCATAGTCAGGGATTAGACTAAATCCTACAGCAGGTGGAAGGGTAGGGGAGCTCCTGGTTAGGGGCTGGGAGTGTGGGAAGGGATGGGCATGACAGCCCAACTGTGCACACCTGAGTGCCTAGACTGGGCATGGTCTTCATTCAACATTTTCCTGCACCTCCCTCACTTCTGCTGGTGCTGCCCTGGGAGCGATTTGGGGGGCAAGAGCAGAAATGGCTAAATTGATCAATAGCTACACAAGCATGGGGGGCAGGCAGGCCAAGAAGTCTCAGGAAATGGGGACATCTACCTCTGAGGAGGAGAGCTGGAATATGGGGTTGCTTTTCATTGAAAACCTTTTGTGGGCCTCCCTGGTGGTGCAGGTGGTTAAGCGCAGTGCTGTGAAGCTATCCACAGCTTCTGCAGTGCCAGTTCAATCCCGGCCGGCAGTGGAGATACCCACATGGCGCGGCAGACCTCTACTGTCTCGCCCATTGTATTTCAGTCAGTCTGCCTGTTCTGCTCCCTGCTCTGTCTCTGGTGAATCCCGCACATCTAGCCTGTACCCTTGTTCTTGTATGCATGAGTAAAAAAATCTTTAAAAAAAAAAAAAACCTTTCATGCCACTGGAGGGTTTTTTTTTCCTGTTGCTTACAGGATTAACATGTAATACCTCTAAATATGGTTCTCACGGGGTGGCCCCCAGACCAACAGCATCTGCACCTCTGGGGATGCAAATTTCTAGGCTCCACTTCAAACCTACCCAAGATTCTAAGGAAGGGCCCAGCCAGCCAAGCCCTCTAGGTGCTTCTGATTTATGCTCAAATCTCACAACTACAGCAGAAGCTTGAATAATGTTTTGTACAGTCATTTCATTATAACGCTGATGAGAAAAAAACAATCCCGGCCCACTTTGATCTTGGCCAGGACATTATTCAAGGACCTGTTTCCAAGAACCTGTCAACGGCATTACGTGAGGCCTAAAACTGTCAAAGCAGTGCTTGCACCCTGGTGCTCACAGTTTGGAGGAAGAACCCTCCCATCCCAGATTGAGAGTGAGCCCCTCTCTACAAGGATGAGAGCCTCTAAATGAAAGGGCCCAAACTGGGAAAGGGGCTGGGGAGGCCACCCCAAGAAGTGAAGTTTGAATGAGATCTAAAGGGTTTGGCCAGGTGAGGGGGGAGGAGGCACGCCCTAGGAAGAAACTCATGAGCGTCCTAGAGCTAGACCCCAGAGCACTTGGTCCAGCGCATCTGTGCTTGGGCACCGTGACTGTCTGCTTGTCCATATGCATGGATCTCCCATTAAGAGATGTCTCCTGGTTTGTGCAAATCCAGAGCCTCTCCTGGTCCTTGAAGCCACCCAGCCACTGTGGCTGTGGGACTGAATCTGAGGTGGGACAGAGAACCTGGTCCTGAGTGCCGACTCACCCACTTGCCCCATGTCACCTCAGGCCAGCCATGTCCACTTTCTGAGTCTCAGTGTCCTCATTTGGGCCATGGGGACACGATTGCCTTCTTGGATGGGCTGCCATGAGGGAATGAGATCATGCCAGTCAGCCCCGGGACTAGTTCCTTCTAATCCCCACACGACAGCTGCTCCAAGGCGGCGTCCTTATTCCCCAAGCTTCAGGCTCAGAGAGGGGAACGCTTAGAGATGGGAGCTGCCCACACTGTAGACAACCTCACCCTCTTTCCCAGGTATGGATTCCCTCCCAGCAGTCTTCTGTCCTTGGCTGCAGTTTCAGTGACTGGAGTGGCGTTCTCTCTCTTGCTGCTATCAGAGTCCTAACAGACACACGCAACAAACAAGTGGCAGAGTCAGAGATGACCCAGGGCTTTCTCCACAGGCTCCCCTAGTGTTAGAAAGTCACCCAGAGATCAGAACTCAGGCAGACCAAGGGGGCCATATTTAGTTGCTGCCAAGCTGCCTGGAGCAGACTGGGGGAGGTGATGGAGCAGCCAAGCTTGCTCAAGGGAATTAGCAGCATCTGTCTCATTCTGACATGGGACATCAGGAATGTGGAAGGGCCCCAGCAAGCGCATGCCTGCCAGGGATGCAGGCAGGGAGGGGGCACTGGGTGGGCAGCTGAGCTCCTCCTGGTCCCCAAGACCTGCCAGGCAGCAGCTGCCTCTGTCACTCCAAGTGAACTGGCACTGGTCTCCCACATGCACAGGACCTGCTGAGAACCTGGCAGGGTGGGGGATACTCAAGCTACATCCTTGGGACTTGGCCCATCACATCTCCATTTCTCTACCGTTAAGGAGGAAAAATAATTGACCTGGTGAGGATGTGGTGAGGGACAGTGGTGGGTGACTGAGTCTGGCATGGCAGTGGCTCATGGTTGGAAAGTGGACAGTGGTGCTCAGTAGTCATTCTTTGTCTTTACACACTATATTCTAGCCTCTCACCCCTTTCCTTCCAGGTGGGCTCTGAAGGATCTGCCTCTCCTGCCATTGGCTGGGCTGGTGAAGGACATGATCACTGGCCAGTGACCTTCAGTGGGAGATTCTAAGTGTGACAGTGGGGGTCAGTCAGAAAGTTTGGGGACTCCAGGGAGACAATGGGAGGCCTTAGATAGAGCAGGAACATTGGCCAAGACCTGCTTTTGGAAGCTGCTTCTAGAACCACCTGCAGGGGAATCAGGGAAGGGATGGTGGAGAACATGGGCTGGGTGGGGGGCACTCAGGGTCCCTATTAAGATTGGAGCACCAGTTCTCAGAACACTCAGCATAATCCATGTGAACGCTGCATCAAACATGCTCACCCAAACGTGTTCACCCAAGATTCATTTCAGCTTAACTCCTGCCCTGGGAAGGAGCACCCTCCCCGAACCCACCCCTCCCCAAAAAAAAACTCATGCTGTTCAAAAAAGTGGGGACAGTGGAAATGATAGGATTTGAAACTCCTGACTTCAAATCCCGTCCTCTCAGGTACCTGAGAGGAAGTCATTGTTTGGGGACGACTCCCTGACTTTAGGCTTGGTGCCTTCTGAGGGGTCGTCTTGGAGGAGGTGGTTTTGTGGGGGACATGGTGAGTTAGAGTGCATGGTGGGAGGCCAGGAGTGGGGAGAGGAGCATGGCCATTAGCTGCTGCTCAGCCTTCCAGGGCAGCTCCAGCCCCGGTTCCTATATCTATCCCTTCCCTTTGTATTTTCAACCACCAACCCCTGGGGGGCTAGGGAGGCAATTCAGGTGGTTCCCACAAAGGGTAAGCACCAGGCACTGGGTCAGGCATGCTCACCTATCAATTCTGGGGCTTAGGGGCTAAAAGCAATAGATACTTCAGGGATGGAGCCAGGGAAGATTCCAGGCTCAGAGGCCTGGATGCTGATCACCCCCCTCCCACTTGCCCCCAAGGAGGGTGTCTGAGAATAGGGCCATGTCAACATCCCCAGCGGAGGACCAGGCAGGCAGGGACAGCTGCAGCCCAGCCAGGCGGCAACCAGCTGCTGCCTGGGAGACTGGCCAGGGTGAGGCGGGTTGGGCATGGCTCCATGAGCCCCCAGACAGAGGCAGAGCGTGGGAGCAGGCTGCAGCCCTGAGGCTGGGTTTCAGGCTTTCATGCTGTGTTAACGGTCAGCTCAGCAGATGGGGGGAGGGGTGTTGCCAGCTTCCCTGGGGACAGTCACAGGACACATTCATGCATGTGCAGAGGGCACATTGACACATGTGCAAAGGGCACTGGTATCTCTACAGTGGATGGAGCTGTGGTCTCTGCCCATGAATTACCCTGGCTCACTTCACACCATCACATACGCAAGATGGTACCAGAAAGACAGACTGAGCAAGAGTGCTGCATAGAACTTGGTCCACCTGGAGACAGCTTGAGGTGAATGCAACCCTAAAACTTGACAGAGAACTTTCAGTTTGTGTCACTCGGCAGCATCCCAGTTTGGGGGATCCCTCCACCTTATTTGCTCTTCATTTGCTGCAGGGAAGACACCAGGCACACAGAAGTTTACTTCAAAAAAAATAATAATAATAATTTATAAAAGGCCATTTGCTTCTCTGTTTTCGGCAGGCTTCCAGCCTTTCAGCCAGGAGCACAGGCCAATGCTCCTTCAGCCAAGATGTTGGGACAAGCAGCAGAGGGGAGGTGGGAAGGCCTTAGGAGAGGAGATTCTAGACTGCCAGATCTCTCAGCTGGTGTAGGGAAGCAAGAGGTTTAGGAAAGTCCTGCAGCCATGTCCAGCCAGACCCCGGGAACAAGGGCTGAATGCTAAGTATGCTAAGTCCCAAGCAGAACCCTAACACTCGGACTTCTAGAACCCTGGGGCCATAACTCCCAGGGTTAAGGGCCTTGTCACGGGTTGAAACCCAAGACCAGAGCAGGAAACCTCAAGTAGGTTGAGCAGACCTCCCCAAAGCAGAACCTTTCAGCACCCTGAGGTCAGTGCCTGGGGCTGCCGAGGTCAAACACTGCCAGGTTGCTGCTGAGCCAGGAGGTCTAAGGTTTCTGGTTGGGCCTGGTGGCCCACATAATCTCATGCTCCTGCTCATGTTTGCACTTTGGGGAAGGGGAAGGAGCTGGATCCCAGTGGCAGCAGATCGAGGCTGAAGACAGAGTCATTGGAGGAGCAGGTGCTACTGGAGTCCCCACCAGTTGGGGAGTAGGGTCCAAAGGTCAGGCGAAGATCCAGGTACTGCAGGGAACAGGGCTGGTCAGTCCTGGTAGTCAGCAAGGAGAAGGCCCAGAGGGGAGCAGGAGAAGGAAGTCATGGGGCAGGAGGGGAACAGTACCTCTTCAGAGACGGCCAGCAGGACCTTGTCCAGTGCCTCCACTAGCTGTTTGAAAGTGGGCCTCTGAGAGGGTGCCGCATGCCAGCACTCACGCATCAGTCCATACCTGTGAGAGGTGAGGTGTAGGGTCAGAGGGATCCTGAAAGTTGGGGTAAGGGGAGCACTGGAGGGACTCTGGGGGAGGTCTCTGGGCCTTGGGTGCATTGTGTCAAAAGGGGCAAGTGGGGTGATTCTATGGAAGGGCACAGAAGCCAGACTAGAACCTCCTCACCTGGGCTGAGGAGGTGGCAGCTTTAGCAACTTTTTGAGTCAATGCTGGTGAGTCCCCAGGGCCAGACTCTGAGGTCAAGTGGAGAGTAGAGGATGGGGACAGGAAAGGGAGAGTGGGGCGGATGAAGCCTCACAGTTCTGGGGGGCAGTTTGGAGGCCGGTCCATTCGATGTCCCTCCCGCAGCAGTGAGAACAGCTCCTCCACAGGGATGCCAGGGTACGGGGAGCCCCCAAGGGTGAATATCTCCCACAGCAGGATCCCAAATGACCACCTGGAGGCAGGATGGGGGCTCAGCAGAGCACAGGTTGGCTACCCACTCTTGAGGCTGGTATGGGGAGGGGACCCACAAGCATCACAGGAGTGGGGATTGGGGTTTTTTTTTTTAATCTGATCACATTCAGGTCCCACAACTGTGTGACCCTGGGCAAGTGCTTTTCCCTTTCTGTGGGGTAGGACAATCTTGGCCACAGACACCCCAAACCCCAGCTTCTGGGACTCACACATCACTCTGGTGTGTATAGACTCGGTCAAATAAGGCCTCAGGTGCCATCCATTTGACAGGCAGGCGGCCCTGGACGGAGAGGGGGCATTGGTGCCGGATCAAGAGGTCCAAGTACCCCCCGCCCCCTATCTGGCTCTGCCCTGCTCCCCTCACATTGCTGGTTTTCTTGTAGTAGTCAATATGGTGGACACCACGGGCCAGCCCAAAGTCAGCAATCTTCATCACGTTGTCCTCGGTCACCAGCACATTGCGGGCAGCCAGGTCCCGGTGAATGCACTGAGGGCAGGGATCATGTACCCATTTTATAGATGAGGAAGTCAAAATTCAGAAAGGGGAACCTAAGTCCTCCAACTTTATTATCTTTTTTAAAGATTTACTTTATTTATGTAAGAACTAGGGTACAGGTCAGAGGCGCGGGAGGGTGAGAGAATTCACAAGAGACAGAGCAGGAAACAGAACAGGCAGATGGATCGAAAACACTGATGAGGGGAGCAGTGGGCAAGACAGGAGAGATCTGCTGCACCATGTGGGTATCTCCCTGGACAGCCAGGAACCAAACCTGCACTGCAGAGGCTGTGGACAGCTTCACAGAGCTGCGCTCAATCCACTGTGCCACCGGGGAGGCCCTAAGTGCTCCAACTTTAAAGCCCACACCCTCTCTATCACCTCCTCCCTTGCTCTGCACACTTGTGAAAGGAAGTAATGGGAACATACCATGTCAACTGTACATGGAAAGACTTGGGGACACTCAGACAGGGTATAAAGGGGAGAAAGGAGAAGCTGGAGACCTTTAATGCCAAGGCCATGAAAGTGTGGCGATGGATTAGTTGGAAGGGTCCAGAGTGTTAACACAGCCCTTACCTTCCGAGACTCCAGATACTGCATGCCTCGAGCCACCTGGTAGGCGCAAGAGACCAGGGCAGGGAAAGAGAGTGGCCCTTCACTGCTCCGAGGCCCGTCAGGGCTGAGGTCGGGGCCTGGGGGGCGGCGGGCCCGCAGGAACTCCCGCAGGTTTCCTTTGGCGGCGCACTCCACAATCACATACAGGGGCCCTGTGTCAAGAGGGGTACATAGAAGCTGCTGGGACTGTGGCTCCGTGTACCAACCACCCGCACCCCTAACCCCACCCCATCCCACCTTCCTGGGTGCAGACTCCCAGCAGATTGATAATGTTCTTATGTCGGCCAATCAGCTTCATCACCTCCATCTCAGAGACCAGGTCTGCCAAGTCCTTGTCAGAGGCATTATCTGCAAGGACAACAGCCAAGGTGACTAAACCAAGGAGGCCTCTGGGTAGGGGACAGCATCATACCTGAATCCTTGCGAGCCTATGTAGCCTTGAAAAAGTCTCTTGAACCTATTCCTCTGAGTTATAGAAAGTGATGTAAACCAGTGTTACCTCAGATAGAGAGACAGAAGGAGAGAGAAAGAGAGAGGGAGGGAGGGAGAGAGGGAAGAGGAGGGAGGGAGGGAGGGAGGAAGTCTCCTAACTTGGTTCCTCTTGTGTGAAATGGGACAAAAAGTCACACCCTACCTCTCCTAGCAATTGCAAAGATGCCATAAGGTCAAGGCTATTCCTGACAGAATGGGACCAAGAAGCAGGGCAGAGGGAAGAGCTCTGAACAGGAAGGAAGTTCTGTCTGGAGGGCATGGCATTAGTCCCTGGGTCAAGTGTGGGTTCCTGGGGGCGGGAAGCGGGCTGGCTCCCCAAGGTCCCTCTGATCAGGCCTGGAGTCCATCTAGGTAGGGAATTCAGAAAGCTGCCAGCAGCGTGCAGCTAGGAAAGGTCAGGAAGAAATGGCTTCAGATTCTTTTGAGAAGGCAGAGGACAAAGACCTAGGCCCTAGAACTGATCTGTGGCTCTGGGCCAATGATAAAACCTCCCCATTGGATCTCACAATGAACATTTCTCAATCTTTGCCTCCCAGAAAGTGCCAGGTGGCCCCAGCTGTGCAGAGGGGAAAGAGGGGAGCAGAACAGCTACTTGGGTCACTCTTGTGGAGAGGGATGGGGGACAGCAGCAAGAGGCCTGATGATGGGTCTCAGGTGTGCCCTGAGCATCTTGGGGTTGCTGCTTGGGAGTAGGATGGCACTTAAGTAGACCTGTTTTCTTATAATGGTGGACATGGGGACAGATCTGAAAAAAGCCTGGGGGAAGCTGAGGGTGTCACTGGGGGTGGCAATCAAGGAGAATGAGATGGAGGGCCTTTGAGGCTAACAAGGTTATTTGAGGTCACAACTGACAGGGAGGTACCAAATCCGTCACCCCATATCTTTGTAGTCATTATCACCTCCATAGTTAAGATATAATGCACTAGGCTCCTCCTGGGAATTAAGGGCTGGAAGGTGGGGACTCTTTACCCAGTCGACACATGGGGAAACTGAGGCTCAGAAGTGACTTGTGAGGGTCAGTAGCAGAGTTGGGCCCCAGGTCCCAGGCTGGAGTCCAGCAGCCTCTCTTGGCCCCCAGTGCTCACTCATTAGCACCATGAGCCCCTGCTGTTAGTCCCAAGGCCATGGCGTCTCCCCCAGGCTGACACACTCACCCTTGAGCATCTTGACAGCCACGGTGCTGGCTTGGTCGGGCCGATTAGGATCCATACCGAAGGCCTCTGCACGGACTACCTGTCCAAAGCACCCCTCGCCTAGGGGTTTCCCAAGCACCAGCCTGGAAATGGAGAAAGCCCAGAACTCTGATGCCAGGGCCTCATACCTGCCTGGAGCTTGCACCCTCATCCTCATACTGCTCAGCCTACCTGTCCCGGGGAAATTCCCACAGCGGGTCAAGAGGTAGATCTACACTCACAAGGCCAGCGAGCAATGGGGGGCCACTGGAGGAGAGACGGACACCTCGCACCAGAGACAAACTGGACTTGGCCAAGGAACCTGACTCCAGAGAGAACTGCAAAGTGGGAGACTTGGTTGGCCAATTGGAGCCGAAAGTCTCAGTACACAGGAGGGAATATGGGAGAGAAGGATGGAATGGTACCTGTCGGGCCAGAGGGAAGCGGGACAACTTCTGCACAGTGGCTGGCTGGCGGGGGTGCTGGCCTTGGAGCAGCTGCCCACGGTACAGCCCGGCCAGCAGCAGGAGCACAACCAAAGCCAGAGAGCCCAGAGCATACAGGACGATGTCTGTGTACCTGACCTCAGGCACTGCCGCTGTCCATGCAAGGTCCTCCTCTGCCCACAGATGGACACACACACACAGAGATAACTGGCTGTTTAGTAGCCACAGGGCTTGGCCCCACACCCGCTGATATGGGCACATACAACCCCAACATACAGAGGGACACACACCAAAATAGCTACGTTATACCCAGTCCCTCATGCCCATATCCCAGAGGGTAGCACTAACAGTCACATGTGGACCCACAGAGGGATGACTGCATGTAGAATTCAACGCACAAATCCACATGCCACGTCCCACGCCTGGAGCCCAGAGGCCAAGGGAGACCATCCACCTAACATATCACAGCAGGATCCTGCAGCCTCCTTTGGACCCCTTGGGGCTCACCTGACAGCACTGTGAGCCATGCCGACTGGTAGGAGAGGCCGATGGAGTTGCCTGCCAGGCAGGTGTACTCGCCTGCGTCCTCGGCAGAAACGTTCCGCAGGTACAGGACCTCCACCTCTGAGCTATTGATGTCTGCTGTCTGAGAAGAGGAGATAGACTCAGGGTCATAGCAGGGCCTGGGCCACACTGTGGCCAGGAGGGGAGCTGGCACCACCCTTCCCGCCCTGTGGGAGAAGGGTAGGGAGCAGGTGCCAGCAGGGACTGGACCTTCAGGACTTGCACGTAAGGAAAGCCGTCAGCGCCGAAGCTGCTGCCGTTGATGACGATGTGCTTCAACCACTGGATGTGGGGCTGGGCGTCGCTGTACACCTTGCACAGCAACTCCACGTCGCTGCCTGCCACAGCTGTGGTGTTGGCAGGGAGCCCCGCCTGCAGGATGGGCCGGTGCGGGGACCGCTCTGGGGGCCGGGCCGAGCCGTCAACCTTGACCAGTGGCACCCACAGAAGTACCCTGGTCACCTGCCTCCAGCCACCACCCAGCTCCCGGGCTTTACTCCTGATACCAGCTCAGACCTTACTTGTCCATCGTTTAGCCTGATTAAACATTCCATGGCTCCCTATTGCCTTTAGGGGCAAGGACACCAACTCAGGCGAGCATTCAAACCCCAGGCACACAACTCCCCACAAATGCATTGTTTTTAGACCCCAGCCTGTAGCCTCTGCCCATGTCTTTCACAGTTTTCTTCTCAATCAACCCCTGCTCTTCTAGGCCCACATTATTCCCTGAACTTCCCCCTGACCCACCTGGACATTCTGAGCAGTTGGAGTCAGCTAAGACTGTCTCCCAGACTGGGCCCCAACTAGGGCAGAGTCAGGGCCCCCAGCCCTCGCCTGCCCATCCGCTCACCCAGCACATCCAGAAGATAGCTGTAGCGGATGCTACCCATAGAGTTTTCCACCAGGCAGGTATACGTGCCACGATCCGAGGGCACCACGCTCTCCATCACCAGGCTCCAGTGCTGATGGCGTAGCTGGGGGTGAGGGAAAAGTCCATGAGGAGGGCCTCCCCGGTGGCGCAGCAGTTGAGCGCTGGGTTGCGAAGCTGCCCACGGCCTCTGCGGCGCCGGTTCGATCCCCGGCTGCTCCCCGGCCACCGGCGGAGGATCCCACATGGCGCGCAGACCTCTCCTGCCGCCCGCTGCTCCCCTCAGCAGTGTACTTCGGTCCTTCTGCCTGCTCTGCTCCCCGCTCTGGCTCTGGTGAATTCTCTCACCCTCCCGCGCTTCTGACTGTACCCAGTGCTTGTATAAATAAATAAACAAACAAACAAACAAATAAATAAATAAATCTTAAAAAAAAAAGTCCATGAGGAGTCACCAACCCATGGCAACCCTGGGGGCCAGGGCATGAGGCCAGATCCTGCCCATTTGGGTCTTCCCAAGCTTTCTAGGTGCTGGGGAGGTCAGGCCAAGGACAAGGACATTGTGAGAAGCAGAAAACATCAAATATCTGAGCCTTGGGTTTGAGTCTTTGAGTTTTAACTTTCTCTTCCTAGCTGTGCTACCTGGAGATGGTCTTTGTCTCTTTGAGTCTCATCTTCCTCTACGACGTACAACTCACCCTGCAGGTTGTCCCTGCAGTGAATGAGCTGCTAAAACTTACTGATATCTGCTGGTCAGTGAGCCTTCTCACTTTACAAATGGAGTTGCTTGACAGAGAAGTTGTCAGTGGCTGGAAAGTGGCAGAGAAGGAACTTGCACCAGATCTGTCCAGGTCCACAGTCTAGCACTGTCAGTCTAGCACCGCCTTCCTCATGAGGGAAGGAACTGAGGATCTGATAGCTAGGAGAGGATGGAGGGGAGAGTGAAAATGGAGGAGCAGATGGCCCTGGAACCCGGAGACTCACACGAATGCCTCCAATGCGATGCTCCCCATGGAAGTCCTGTCCATCCTTGAGCCAGCGGATGGTGGGCATGGGGTTGCCTGCAGCTGGACAGCGGAACTTGACAGTGTTCCCAGCAGGCACTGCATGTAGTTTCTTCTCCATGCGCTGAGGGTGTGTCCAGTAGGGTGCTGAAGTGGGGGTGTTGGGAGAACTTAGTGCTCCAGGATGAACACCTGCTTTCATACAGGTCTCTTCTCAGGGAAATAAATCCTTGTGGACTCATACTGACCTTGCTGGGGGTAAATATGCCCATTTGAGGGGTCCTTGTGGACCTTGGGGTCTTTATCACCATTGCTGGAGGTTGAGGAGTCTATGTCAGGGACAAAAAGAAGCATCTAAGGTCTAGAACCAGGGGCTTCTCTCCCAGGTCCCTGCAGCCCCTGCCAGACCTTACCATCCACAATCAAGGTGACATTGTGCAGGACAAGCATAGAGCCCCGTGCCAGGCAGAGGTAGTGGCCTGCATCCTGGGGTAGAAGGCTGGCGATTTCCAAGCGTCCTCTCCAGCCTCGTACTCTGCCAGTATGTGCCAGGCGACTGCCCTCCTTGTACCAGTGGCCACTACGCTCAGCCTGTCCACAGCACAGCCGCACAGCCTGTCCTTGGGCCATTGTCAGCTCTTGCTCTTGCTGCTCTGGGCTAGGGGCCAGACAGGGCTCTGTGGGCCAAGGACAGGTGAGTGAGTTCCACAATCTCCTGCATACAGAGAACAGAACTGCACATGCAGGGCACAAGCATCTCACATCACATGCTGGACATCTGTTGGTCCTCAATACACATAATCACATGCCAGATACTACACACAGGGCAAATATCACACCACTGGTGCACATCACACACATGCTGGGTTGGACATGCCGCTGCCTAAGACAGATATACACACACTTCACATGCTATAGGTGCCACACACAGGCACATGTCATACCCTGGGGGCACATCAGACACCCAGCAAATACACCACACATGCTATATAGCTTCCCCAAGGCACATACCCAAGTGTGCTCACACACACACATACACACGCGCGGTGCACACACACACACACACACACACAAACGGCTCACCACCAGCTCTGCAGCCCAACGAGGGCCCTGTGCCCTGCAATGCCAATCCTCTCTCATGGACACAGAGATATTTGGATGGTTGCTGAGAGCCAGACACTGATTCTCAATGGTTGGACCCTGAGCCCTGCTGCCACTTCTTCTGAACCTGGGCAGGACCCTTTCCAGTTTTGCTTGGCCAGCAGCCCCCTCCAGTGCCCACCCCTACCATCCTCTCCCACCTTAAAGGCCATACCCAGCTCCATTTCCTCAGAGGCCTCAAAGGACAAAGCTGGAGGCCTGGGCACGCCCAGCAAGACCCCCAATAGGGCCAACAGCAGCCGCATCTCCTTCCTGCTGCTGTTCAAAGGCACCCAGGCTGGGCTTCTGCCAAAGGCTTTCCTACAAAAGGGGGAGGAAGAGAAGAGCTCCTATCACATGCGCATGCTGGTACTATCCCCCTATTTTGCAGATGAGGAAACTGAGACCGGAAATGGTCTGCAGACTTGTCCAAGACCTCCTGCCCCCTGCCAGGCAGCAGCAGGGCAGAGACTGAAAGCAGCTCTGAAGTTGCTGGAGACCAAGGCACCAAACCACAGTAGGTTGTGCACAGGGGGTGGGTTGGGCTTCCTCTCCTTGGTCCCGCTGAGACCCTGGCACGAGTTCACAGAAAGGGCAGTTCTGGGATTCTTTCCTCAGAGGAAAGCAGAGAACAGAGACATAGCTTCTGCTCACTCTCAGCACACATAATTTATTTTTTGCTGAATAAATGAATTTATTGCTGAGGAGTCAAAAAAGAAAAGATTTGAAATATAATACATGGCCAAACTTCACCATCTGGATGTTATCTGATCTGACCTCCGCGCCCTGCTCCCCTGTCCCCCCCCCCCCCAGTCCTTATAGCAACTCTGGATACCTCCAGCAGCAGGGCGCTCAGTACTAACAGGGTAGCGCGTGTCCAACAGAAGTTCTTCCTCATTCTGACAGATTGCTCTGCTTTCTGTGGCCCCCACAGCTTCATCTGAGGCAACACAGGCTTTTGTGTCCAACAGAGCCAAGTTCAAATCCTGTCTCTTACCAACTTGCAAGTCCCTTTCCCTCTCTGGGCTACTTACTGTCCTCATAGCACAGCTTTGCAGGATAAGCAAGAAATGTGTGGGCATACACGACATTGGAATGTTCTCCCTGAACTCTCCTCATGACTGTAGCCCTGGCTCTCCCCTCGGTCAGTCACATCTGGTTCCAGTGTGTGCCTGGTCAGGTGTGATGGACACACCCCATCTGATTACCCTCCTCCAAATGCCACCAAGAATACTCAAAACAACTTCGTCTAGGGCAGGGGAAGAGGGTGATCAGCTAATTCCCAGGGTTGTTACCTTGGCTGAGTAAGCTAGGCTGCCCTGTGTCTCCGGACCTACCTTGTCCAGGAAATGCACTGCTCCTCTCTCCTCAGCCACTGCCCTCCATCCAGGTCCGGCTCAGGGGCAATTAGCTTCTCCTCGCCGGAGTCATCATTTCTTCCTTCAAACTATCTGCTCTCTGGGCTGCCCACAAACCCATCCTCTCCACCATCCCTTCTTCACTCCTTCCCCCTTTCCTCATGGTTGCCTCTTCGCTCCCTCTCCTACCCAACCTCCCCTCCTCAGATGCAGGCGAGGCATGGTCACCTCTTACATGAACATTTGCAAACAAATCCCAGGCTTCACTGGCCTCCACTCTCCAGCAGAGCTTTAAAAATTACACATCCAGGGCCTCCCCGGTGGCGCAGAGGGTGGAGAGCCGCACAGTGAAGCTGTCGGCAGCCTCGCCCGCTGCTCCCCTCTGCAGTGTCTTCGGTCCGCCTGCCTGTTATGCTCCCCGCTCGGGCTCTGGTGAATTCTCTCACCCTCCCTTGCCTCTGACCTGTACCCCAGTCCTTGTATAAATAAATAAAATATTTTTAAAAAAAAATTACAAAGCCACTATGTGACACATACTCCTCCAGCTTACAAGTCTTTAATGTCTGCCTGCGTCCAGCTGGATCCAGTCCTGGCTGTTTATCCCCAGTCAATCTCTTTGGCCACACAATCTGGCCCCTTCAGCCTCTTCAGCACTGAGGAGAGACTGCCTTTCAAAATTGGGTATGCCTGCTCTGTTGTCCATGCCTCTGGACCCTACATTTTTTTACTCCACCTAGCTTAGGAGCCACTGTCTCTGCACACAGTCAGCTTCCAAGGTCTTCCCTTCCCTATTAACAGAACCCCTCCCTCCAGCCCCCAGTCCCACTTCCGTAAGGGAGGGCAGCTCTCTGCCTGCACTGGTTGGGTTGGGAGTGGGGTAGGGAGGCCTGGGGATTTTATTCCCACCCTCTTCTGCCCTGACCTTAGACCCTCAGGACCCTCAGTTGGATCACATGTCTGGCGGCAGACAGGCAGGCGGGGTCGAGGGGCCTGATCTGGTATCAGGCAGTCCTGGTTTCTTCTCCAGCCTCCCGGACTTAAGCGCTGAGGGACCCAGGGCAAAAGGCTGCACCTCTCGGAGCCGCAGCTTCCTCGGATCTACGCAGCGCGCGCAGACGGTCCTGCAGCCTAGGGACCAGCCCGCTCTCCCCCCTCCACCCCTACCCAGCCACCCCGGCGGGAGGTGCGAGTCGGCGGGTCCCGAGAGGGAGCTGGCAGGGACAGCCGGCCCGCCCCCGCCCGGGTGGGCAATGAGTAACCAGCTCCGCGGCCAGGGTGCTCTTTGGACGGAGCGGGACAAAAGGCCCTGTGTGCTCAGCGGGTTACTGATTTACCGACCCTCACCCCCCTCTGCCGAGCGGACGTCTAGGTGCCCTACGCGGAGAAGGGGCAGTTCCCAGGGCACCGCCGCCGCTCGCCCCCTAGCGGCTAGGAGCGCGCTCTGGGTCCGCTCAGGGTGCTGGCTCGCCTCGAGCGCCCGCGGCCTCACACCCTGCACAGAGTGCCGGCTCACCTGAGTCCTCCGCGGCCAGTCTCTCAGCTCCCGCCAGGCCCGACGCCCGCACCGAGTGGGGACCGCAAGTTCAACCCAGGCGACGCTCAGCCTCGGTCAGAGAGCCAGGAATGCACCCTCCGCGGCAGCGCGGCCGCGGGCGGCTCGGCTCCCCGCCCACCTTCTGACCCGCCCATCTCGGATCCCACCCCTTCTGGACCAGCTCGACCCTGACAGCCGCGTGATTGCGGGTGGCACAGCGTGCCGCCCACCTGAAGACCAGCCCCGCTATCCCACCCAATCTCGCGGCCCCGCCCAAGGCTACTGCACACCCCCTCAGACCCCGCCTCTTTGGGTCCACCCAGGCCAGGCTTCCAAGTTCTAGCCCCTTGCTGAATTCCCTGCTCTTCAACTGTCGGGGAACTAGACCCAGTAGTCCTGACCCACGCCTTTCCTCAGACCTTGGCTGGTCTCGGGCCTCCCTGATGGCGCAAGGGTTGTTAACCACAGCACGATGAAGCTATGGGCAGCCACTGCGTCATGAGTTCGATCCCCGGGCAGGGAGTTACCCACATGGCGCAGCAGACCTCTCCTGTCTCGCCTGCTGCTCTCCTCAGCAGTGTATTTCCATAGATCTGCCTGTTCTGCTCCCCAGTCTGTCTCTGGTGAATCCTCTCACCCCCACACCGCTGGCCTGTACCCCAGTTTTTTGTAGGTTTAAATAAATCTTTAAAAAAATAAAATACAAATTAGACTTGACCAATCACAGCCACCCCTTAAAATAGTTTCCCATAAAGATTCTGAGCATAAAAAAAAAAAAAATGCTTCTCATAATCTGGCTCCTTCCCACTTCTCCGGACAAGTCCTTCATTCACTTTGTCCTTGCGCCCACTCGTAACTCTGGGCCTTTACACAGGAATGATACTACTCCAGACCTGGGTAGTTTCATCTCATTCTTAGGTCTCAGCTCACTTCCTCAAAGAAGCCCATTGGACTTACCACATGCCTTCTCTCTCTTGAGGCTGGAGAAAGAAGCAGGGAGTAAAGTGATTTTGAGCACAGAATGGCAGGACTCAAGTGTCAGCACCACGAACATGGTCTTGACAGTGACTCCATCTCCATTAGTAAATTTCCCCATTAATAAAACAGGTATTATGACAGTACCACCTTCAAAAAGTTGCTGCAAAACTAGACATGTTAGTATGTAAAGCCTTTAGAACACAGCACTTGCTTTGATTATTTAGGACCTGTTATTTCTTCATTGCACATTCTAGAATTGTAACTAAACAGCTGTACATATGGAAGGCAGGAAGTGCCTGGTACACATAGGTGCCCCCACCCCCAAGTTCTCTGGCCCACCTGACTCAGGTTTCCTTCACCTGCAAACACTTGTCTCTAAAGCATCTGAACAATGGTCAAACTGGAAAGTCAACTGACCTTTGATCCACCCAACCCTTACCTGAAGTCCATCCCTCAAGCTCTATTTCCCCTCCCGGGATAGCTCCCAGAGTCAGCTGGTGTCTCAGGTTTACCACCAGGTTAGCCCTGACTGGTGGAGACCTGGCCTAGAGGAAGCAGCTTCCTTCCCCATTGTTATGTGGAAGAAGTTAGCTCTTCCCACCCTTACTTCCAACAGCGATTGAGGCTTTTCCTTTGCATAACCAAAAGACCCATTAAAGTAATTAAAATTTTTGTTCGTTTCCTCATCAAACAAAAGAGTGGTCTCCTCCCAAAGATAAAACCAAAAAGAATTGGGTATCTTTTAAAAGCAGCATGTCTGGTTTCCAACCCTTTCCTCTCCACCCAGGGTTCTTTCTTGCTGGAGCCCTTCTGGCAAGGTTATGGATTCTGACACTGTAGATGCCCAGCAGTTGAACAAATGAGCTCCTCCTGCCCAGAGGTGGCCTCCAGAACTCTCTGACAAACTCAACTCCCTACTGTTAGGGGAAAAGGATGTTCTGAGCTAATTCCATACAGGCTTTGTGGACCCCAGCCCCACTCCAGACCAAAGTCATCAAGACATTGGGAAAGACAAATCCCGTCACCACCAAAGGGAAGGTGGCTGCGCGCGGGTGAGGACCCACAGTCAGGCACCCCGTTTTGTATCGGGGCTGCCCTATAACACTACTTCTGGTCCTCAGCTGGCTCCCCATAGTGAATGTGGTTGTGTGGAGGAGGGGAGAACGACAGAGGGAGTTGCCAGCAGGAGCTGGACACCACACAGCTTTCATCCAACTTCTAGGCCCTTCCCACCTTTCCCTGAGCCAATGGCAAAGCAAAGGCTTTCTGAGCCCACATTGTGCAGCCTCCCTGCTGAGACGCCTGCATCCCTTAGACTGGCAACCCCATGTCACATATGCCTTGCTGGGATCCCCTCTGATACTCACAACCTCTCACATTGACCCTCTGCAGTTGATCTCTCACATTCTCACTGTTCCATTAACAGTTGAATTTGCTGCCTCTTTCAAAGATGTTCACACACACACACACGCACACACACAAACACCCCTAGTCCCCTAGTAGGGGCCCGGGAGCCTGCCATCCTAAGATCATGCCTTTAGCCTGCCTCTGCCTCAGTTTCTCCACCCACTAAATAGGCACATTCCTACTTCCCTTTCCCCAGCGATATTGGAGGAAATGAATGAGTTAAGAGTCCTCACCTTGGCTGACCCCGCACTTGATGCCAGGCAGCATACTCAACAGGGCATTCTACATACATTGTAGGCTTTGAGACTTCCTCAAAGACACACAGGGGTAGGGATCCTTCATTCTGTTTTGTAGGTGAGGAAATTCAAGTCCAAGCAGATGGAAAGACTTGTCTGAAGTCATGTAGCGAGTGAGTGAACAACAAAAGTGACACTTGAACTTAATCTTTTGGGACAAAGTGGGAGAGCTCAGGGTGCCTCTCCACAGAGTCCCTCCTCCGAGGGATTGTTGATGCTACACACTATACCTGCCCATGTTCTGCTTCTGTCCTTAGCTGCTATCCAGGAAGGTGGAAATCACCTGAAGGTGAGTGTGTGGGGGCTGATAGGGTGCCTGTGAAGTACCATGTCCTGGGCAGGGGTTTGCAGACTCTGGGTTCCAGGAGGGACGCCTGAGGCCAGGGCCCTCCTCCCACCTGCCGAGAGCTGAGGTGGGGGAAGGAGGCAGATGCCTGGTGCCGACCTTGTTGCTCTTGGATAGCAGCCGGGCCCAGGGAACACTGGGGCTCTTGTGCAGAAGGGTTCCCCTGAGCCCCTGCCCAGGCCCCACTCCAGCCCAGCCTGGCTCCATCCTCTGACCTAGCCCTGTGCTTTTTTGTCTTCCTTCCTTAATTTCTTTCTTTTGAAACAACATAGAGTTTGAGAAAGTTTTAAGATGTAGAAAAAGTACACAGGGCAATACCATATCTTTGCTACTCAGAATTGATCATTATTAGGACTTGACTATCACACCCCCTCCTACTCCTCTCTTCTATGCTGTCTTCTCCCACAGACTCCAGGGAAGTCTGCTTTGACTCAGCAACTGAGTGGTAAAGTTTGGGTGATAGAGTCAGGCATATGTAGGTTTGAATCCTAAAAACCGTGAGCCCTGACAATCTTAAACCTCACTTTCCTTTTCTGTAAAATGGGAATAATTTCTCCTCTGTGAGGACTCAACACCTGGCACACCCTTGTGCTGAGTAAAGAGAGGTTAACTTAAATATTAGCAACTATGGGCCTAACAGGGACCCACTCAAAAGAATGGGAAACACACTTCTACGGCCCAGAGGGAAGAGACTGTGATGGTTAACCCTCCTGGAGCCCTCACAACCCCTCATTCACCACCCTCTGGGCACATCCATGTCCAATTTCTACTCTGGGACACA